CACCTTTAGGCTTCGCTCAAACTGCAGGTCTTTAGGCTCAATTCCGATTTTTCAGATCCAATTTTCTTTGTGTGGCTGTCCACATAACGGCCTCAAATTGTGTCCCTGAATATGGAGGACAAACTCTGCCATATTTAGAAACTGAATATGGAAATAAATAAATGCTCAATAAATAAGCATACAATTAATTGCCGGCAAAAATACAATAAACAGTTGAATGTAGGTAGAAATTAAATCATACAGTGAGAAATAAATGTATGAATCTCTTATTTTTATTTATTGTCCTTTATAATCTTCAACTTCATTTACTTATTATTTATTTTTTTAAGTATTTATGTGCATGTGATAATATTTTTGTCTGTTTTATTCTTCCTTTGTATTTTTTTTTACCCTATTTATTTCTTCCTGTCATTTTTACATTTCTGTCTGCATTTCTGCCTTATTATGTAAATGAGGAGGGGGGAGGGTGTCTAAGAGGGTCAACTTTTGCCCATTGGTTGGTGAGCATTTTACCGCATCTGTAGAATCTACAGGAGGAGAGGAGAGTCTGAAGTAGAGTCTGAAGTTAGTGGCCGTTTCTCAATTCAAAAGAAGGTGAGTACGGACTCATGTTCTCACCAAGTACGTTCTTGAGCAGAACCCTGGAAAGTCTGGACTCTGGGAGAACTGGAGCACGCAGCATAAATCTGGGTCAATTGGAACAGAAGCATACTGATGACATCACCACACTCTCGGCTAGTCACCTCCTGCTATTAATAGTCTCTGGATGATAATAAATTCTGACTTTTTCATTTATTGGAGGAATAATAATGAACACAGTCAAATAAACCCAAATCAAATTAACATTTTGCCAAATAAAACAAGATAATTTCCATCAGAGCTAGCGGCTCACACGGCTATGCAGAGACAGGGCCGCTGCAGACGGGCTAACGTTAGCCCTGGCTACTGCAGACGGGCTAACGTTAGCCCTGGCTACTGCAGACGGGCTAACGTTAGCCCTGGCTACTGCAGACGGGCTAACGTTAGCCCTGGTTACTGCAGACGGGCTACCGTTAGCCCTGGCTACTGCAGACGGGCTAACGTTAGCCCTGGCTACTGCAGACGGGCTAACGTTAGACCAGACTGCCGTTAGCCTCGGAGCTCCACTGGTTGCTGCGGTCCTCTCAGCTTTGGAGTAAAAAAAAAAAATTAAGCATAAAATCGGTAAATTGGCCATATACAGGTGCTGGTCATAAAATTAGAATATCATGAAAAAGTAGATTGATTTCAGTAATTCCATTTAAAAAGTGAAACTTGTATATTATATTCATACATTACATACAAACTCATATATTTCAGATGTTTATTTTGTTTAATTTTGATGATTACAAATGACAACAAATGAAAATCTCAAATTCATCATATCAGAAAATTAGAATATTACTGAAGACCAATAAAAACAAAGGATTTATAGAAATGTTGGCCAACTGAAAAGTATGAACATGAAAAGTATGAGCATGTACAGCACTCAGTATTTAGTTGGGCCTCCTTTGGCCTGTATTACTGCAGCAATGCGGCGTGGCATGGAGTCGATCAGTCTGTGGCACTGCTCAGGTGTTATGATAGCCCAGGTTGCTCTAATAGTGGCTTTTAGCTCTTCTGAATTGTTGGGTCTGGTGTATTGCATCTTCTTCTTCACAATACCCCATAGATTTTCTATGGGGTTAAGGTCAGGAGAGTTTGCTGGCCAATTAAGAACAGGGATACCATGGTCCTTCAACCAGGTACTGGTAGCTTTGGCACTGTGTGCAGGTGCCAAGTCCTGTTGGAAAATGAAATCTGCATCTCCAAAAAGTTGGTCAGCTGCAGGAAGCATGAAGTGCTCTAAAACTTCCTGGTATGTGGCTGCATTGACCCTGGACCTCAGAAAACACAATGGACCAACACCAGCAGATGACATGGCACCCCAAACCATCACTGACTGTGGAAACTTTACACTGGACTTCAAGCAACGTGGATGAAGTGCCTCTCTTCTTTTCCTCCAGACTCTGGGACCTTGATTTCCAAAGGAAATGCAAAATTTACTTTCATCAGAGAACATGACTTTGGACCACTCACCAGCAGTCCAGTCCTGTTTCTCTTTAGCCCAGGCAAGACGCTTCTGACGCTGTCTGTGGTTCAAGAGTGGCTTGACACAAGGAATGCGACAGCAGAAACCCATGTCTTTCATACGTCTGTGTGTGGTGGTTCTTGAAGCACTCACTCCAGCTGCAGTCCACTCTTTGTGAATCTCCCCCACATTTTTGAATGGGTTTTGTTTCACAATCCTCTCCAGGGTGCGGTTATCTCTCTTGCTTGTACACTTTTTTCGACCACATCTTTTCCTTTCCTTCGCCTCTCTATTAATGTGCTTGGACACTGAGCTCTGTGAACAGCCAGCCTCTTTAGCGATGACCTTTTGTGTCTTGCCCTCCTTGTGCAAGGTGTCGATGGTCGTCTTTTGGACAACTGTCAAGTCAGCAGTCTTCCCCATGATTGTGTAGCCTATAGAACTAGACTGAAAGACCATTTAAAGGCTTTTGCAGGTGGTTTGAGTTAATTAGCTGATTAGAGTGTGGCACCAGGGGCCATCAATTTTGAACCTTTTCACAATATTCTAATTTTCTGATATGATGAATTTGAGATTTTCATTTGTTGTCATTTGTAATCATCAAAATTAAACAAAATAAACATCTGAAATATATGAGTTTGTATGTAATGTATGAATATAATATACAAGTTTCACTTTTTAAATGGAATTACTGAAATCAATCAACTTTTTCATGATATTCTAATTTTATGACCAGCACCTGTAGTGACACTTAAAAGTATAATATTCTTGCCTCAAATGATCTAAAAGCGTACTTTTATCGAACAGTAGCAACAGAAAGAGAACTTTTAACTTAATACTCTGAGCTCTGTGAGTTACGAAAATGAGCCGCCAACCAATGAGCAGAAGTTGACTCTTTAAGACACCTCCCCTCCTCATTTACATAATGAGGCAGAAATGCAGACAGAGATGTAAAAACGACAGGAAGAAATAAATATAGGGTAAAAAAAAACACAAAGGAAGAATAAACCAGACAAAAAATATAATAACATGCACATAAGTAAATATAAAATAAGTAAGAAATAAAGTTGAAGATTATAAGGGACAATAAATAAGGTGATTATTACAAAGGCGAATAAAGAAGCTAATTAATTCTGCTACATTTATTTGTTTATTGTATTTTTTGCGGGCAGTTAATTGTATGCTTATTTATTTATTGAGCATTTATTTAATTCTGTATTTATTTTTAAATATGGCAGAGTTGGTCCTCCATACCTGAAGTGACCCACACATGCTAACCAATAACAAGTCTAGTTCAGAAACAAATTAATCACGATCAATCGATTATTGAAATCTACTTGTGACTTGTGTTGTGAATTGACGCTATATAAATAAGCTGAATTTAATTGATTTTAAAATTTCCTTTGTACGTTTACATTTTTTTAATGCTATAAAAACAGAGTGGGCTGCCGGTGGGCCACCCTAGAGACACCCACCACTCTGGACAGGAAACAAAGACTCAAAGAAAGCCTCTGCTCATCGAAAACTAACAAACTCTCAGAGGGCTCACAGGCTGACAGGATATCTGATTTACTGGATGACTGAAGATTAAATTTACATCTTTTTTTTTACTTCATCAGATTTGTTTGTTCATGTTGGGTCTTTAGAACAAGTCTTCTTAGTAAGTTTAACCCCAGGCAAGCCTGAATGAACTTTTGGCCTGAAACTGAAAGGTTTAGGATCTGTTATTAAAACCGTGGCCAAGATGAGACCAGATTTTCCTGATAAATACAGTCTCAGTAAATTGAATCTAAAAAAAAAAGAACCGCCTGTGCCGCTAAAGATTCCCCGTCAACCATGAAAACTAAAATCTTTTTAGCCACTGAACCAACGACCTTCTGAGGGCTCAATCTGAGACGCTTTAGTTCCAAGCAGATAGTCACGGAGCCTAGAGACGCCTGATTGTATTGATTCAGGCTCACTAACTCTGGAGCTCAGAATAAACACGGGGGACAAAGACTTTAATCTGTTTCATGCAACAATCATAAACCAGCTCCTCCTAAAACTCATGATAAATCAGGGCAAAAAAGGCAATGAAAGCAGCTGATGTATGCAGACCGGGGCATTTTGAACGCCGCCATTCATTCAGCTGCTTAATCAATCAGTGAGCAGCTGGTAGGAGGAGCCATGAAGCTATCGATCACAGCTCTGCGGATCAATGCGAGCCTCCAGCAGCAGTAATGTTCATCTGTAAATAAGCTTTGCAACATGCCGGGCTGTAGGTTACTGCTGGCATCAGCCTCCCCCCCTGCAAGCACAGCAAAGGATTGTGGGTATTTTAGCAGCAGACTTGTATTCGGTCGTCCAAATTAAAAGAGAACAGAGGAAACCACAAGTGAGTAAACTGTTGATTGGTTTGGGGGAGGAGGGGGGCTTCTGGTTTCCTCCATGAATAAATAAAAACATTTTTAAAGGGTATTTTAATAACTATATATATAATGAAGCTCTTTGTTCCACACTTTTATCTGCTCAGTTTTTATTCATGTAAAGCAACCAGATTCCTAAAATCTTCTAATAATATCCAAAATGAGATGTTATCACTTTTCCCCACAGGAAAAATACAGTATTTTTAAACTGAATATTTATTTATTTGTTACGGTCCTGAGCTGAAAACAGAAGAGACTGAGGATGTTTCGGTTTAGCTTAAAACTTACTTCAACGTCATTTAAGGAAAAGTCCGGTCATATTCAGAATTCAAACTTCTGAAAGTTGTTTAATTATGAAATTATTAGATACTGTGTGTTTTTAATTCAGAGTAATTTTCATGTGAATGTGCTTTACTGGAGGCATCCATGTTTGTCAAAGAACACTACTGCCACCTACTGGTTAGTGACGTCACGGTGCGGTATCGGCTGTTGATCAAGTCCCAGTGCTGTATCTGGTGTTTGTCACAACAGGCTATTATCGACGTCATCTTGAAAACATTCTTCTTCCAAATGTTGGCTACATATTACGGGTTTTTTCTCTGGCCAGAAGTTCGATGGCAAATCCTCCCTCTTCAAGTTGGCGATCCAACGACCAACCCGTCCGTGGAGGATCAGGAATCAGAAAGGTGGAATAACTATTTTTTTCCACTTTTACCCGATGTATTCCAGCATCCAGCTGCCATGCACGTGGGCATTGTCAGTTTCACTATAGCTGTGGTGAATTTCAATGGTGAAGTCCTCTGGAAATCTTCAATAATTGTTGTTGATTGCAGATGTGTCTAGTAGTTCCCATTGATTTAGCTTGTAAAGCGGGGAGAATGGCGCTAGGCTTACCGCACCGTGACGTCACTGCTGGAAGATGGCAGGAGGGAGGGGTTACTATATTTGGGCAAAAATGGCCGCTCCCAGACTGTGATCGTAACAAAAATTATTATTATTTTTTTCTGATTAATGCTAAATTCATTAAATCACCATGAACGTATTAGTTTTAAGGTATAAATATTGATCCTGTCATTATTCCTTGCTGACCGGACTTTTCCTCTAAAGGTAAATGTGTAGTAAACACAAGTTTTTATTGAACTTGAATGATACACACTACCACTCAATGTCTTAGAAAAAATTTTTAAGGTTATTTATTGCAATTCAAGATGTTGAAGTTCAACAAACATCTTAAAGTGGCACAAAGATTAAGACTAATCTGCCAGAGGCAAAAAACGGTAGCTCACCAGAAACCTAAAAGAAATGAACATCGCAGATTTATAGAAAATAGTCTTTATCAAGAAAATACAAAATAGATTAACAATTTGAAACTTTTAAAAAAAGCAATTAAAGGTTGACTAAGCCTTACAAGCTGATGCTACAAATTCCTGCAAGAGTTCCAACTTTTCCTTGGATAAAAGCAGCGTTGGACCACCATACCTCCATGTTCATCAGCTGAATTATACTGCAGAGTGTTGCTACGAAAATGGCATTAGAAAAGCAATTAACAATGTATGAGATACAGACCATCATAACATTTAAAAGTTTAGGTCTTTCCTAAAGCAAAAGTGCAAAGAAAGTCAGTGAGCACTGAAAAATGCAAAAACTGGTCCTCTGATTCATAGATTTTCCCCATTTCTTACCAGTTTGTGTTACAAACGCCTCACATGACTACAGCTTTAATAACAGTAGGAAGGATCTCAGTTTAAACAGGTTTGCTGAGATGTCAGAAAAAGACAAAGAGGCAAAGCGGCATGCCTGGGCCATGAAACGCCACCAATGGACAACTGAAGACTGAAGGAAACTATTGTGGACCATGAATCAAAGCTGGACATCTTTGGTCGATCATGCAGGCTAGTTCCACCCTGCATGACATAATACTTTTAAAACCGAAGGAGGAGCCGCTGCTTGAAGATCTGCTTCCTCCTGCTGCCGAAAAATATAAGATATTTCCTGATCCCTCTTATTGTGTCGATACAATAGACTGTAAACATATTAAATACAGCCCCATCATTTTGCAGCAGCTTCTTTATTATTAATCCAAACTGCAGTAAAAAAAGAATACAGCAGAAAGTCTGCAATTCTTCCTGAATGTGAAATTAGGAGCCCAAACCCAGGGGTTCTGAGCCGCATGTTGACTTTACATTATTTACTGCACAGACTTGCAGACAAAAGGTCCGATTCTATGCGCTGCTTATGCTGTGAGCTCACCCTGGTCGTGTCAGCGCATGCATGAAGGAGAATCATTGCAGCTGAAAGATGGGAGCCATACAGTTCAGGCCTGCAGGCTGCCATGTGTTATGAAGCACAGCTTTAACCAGATGTTTGTTACACATCTGCCCAAGCGTCTAAGTCACCTGCTTAAACTGTTTTAGAAAGACATTAGTGAGTTATGCGGATCTACAAATGTTTAAATCATTAACAGCTTGTTTTTATTACGGATTCTACCTTCAAAGCAACTAAGCTTATTGTCTCAATATGACAACAAATAAAGACGTTTTAATCAAAACAATGGAGGGGAAATGATTTTCTGCCACATTCTGCCTTTTCTGCACTGGCTAAAACAAAGAACCTGTAAATTATTCACAATCCTGTAGATGTAGGTTTACAATCACTTTCATTCTGTGGAGTAGTTTCTGACAGGAAGTGAGACAGACTCTTTGAAATGATGATTAAACTATAAAAAGAATGTCAGATTTATTTACTCTCGTTGAAGCTTGTTTAAAATCCTTCATGCCCTTCTTAAAATTCAAAGAAAAATATTATTTAGCTGCATTACAGTTATCCCCTTATAATTACCAAGCGGCTTTCAGCATTTCTCCAATAGTATTTGAATGATTCTTCTTAAAAAGAGTCTCTCTGCCATCACCCTAATATTTAGCTTCCTTTAACGAGTCTGTATCATATACAAGTCAGGACTCCTAAAATGTTTAGGTCACGTTTTGTTAGAGAATAAATGTTGGTCAAAATGAAGATTACTGTAAACCAAAATCTGCCTGGTTATTAAATATTTGGGGATTAAATGTTTATCCGATTAAATAAGGCAAATTCAAAATAAATAGATATGAGCTATAATTCAGCAGCTCTATAGGAACTGTTCAATCCATTTAACAATGTTTTGGTTATTTAAATCAACACTTGTCAGTTTAAGGTACCTTTTTCCCCTCATGTCGTACCTTTGAAAGGAAAAGTCCGGTCATATTCAGAATTAAAACTTCTGAAAGTACTTTAAGTTTGAAATTATTACATCCTGTTTAATAATTGAGTGTTTTTAATTAAGAATAAATTTCATTTCAATTCAATTCAATTCAGTTTATTTATATAGCGCCAAATTCACATCATGTCATCTCGAGGCACTTTACAGTTCAACCAGATCATACAGTTCAATTGATTCAAAGTTTTCTATCTAAGGAAAACCAGTTGATTGCATCGACTCATTTACTCTGCAGCAATCACTCACACTAAGCATGCTTGTAGCGACAGTGAAGAGGAAAAACTCCCTTTTAACAGGAAGAAACCTCCAGCAGAACCAGGCTTAGTGTGTCTCAGTGTGTCTGCTGAGGCTGACTGGGGTTCAAGGAGACAGAAGCATAGATACAAAAAGCAGCTGCAAGAGAGCACTTCCACTCAGTCACGGTCAGAGAAACAGGACCACACTGGAAAACAGGCCGATCTCCAGCATCATGTGAATGTGCTTTACTGGAGGCATCCATGTTTGTCAAAGAACACTACTGCCACCTACTGGTTTGTGACGTCACGGTGCGGTATCGGCTGTTGATCAAGTCCCAGTGCTGTATCTGGTGTTTGTCACAACGCGCTATTATCCAAGTCATCTTGAAAACATTCTTCTTCCAAATGTTGGCTACATATTACGTGTTTTTTCTCTGGCCAGAAGTTCGATGGCAAATCCTCCCTCTTCAAGTTGGCGATCCAACGACCAACCCGTCCGTGGAGGATCAGGAATCAGAAAGGTGGAATAACTCTTTTTTTCACTTTTACCCGATGTATTCCAGCATCCAGCTGCCATGCACGTGGGCATTGTCAGTTTCACTATAGCTCTGGTGAATTTCAATGGTGAAGTCCTCTGGAAATCTTCAATAATTGTTGTTGATTGCAGATGTGTCTAGTAGTTCCCATTGATTTAGCTTGTAAAGCGGGGAGAATGGCGCTAGGCTTACCGCACCGCGACGTCACTGCTGGAAGATGGCAGGAGGGAGGGGCTACTATATTTGGAGAAAAATGGCCGCTCCCAGACTCAGTGATCACAAAGACATTTTTTTTTTTTTTTACTGATTAACACTAAATTCATTAAATCACCAGAAACGTATTAGTTTTAGGTATAAATAATGATCCATTAATCATTCCTTGCTGACCTGACTTTTCCTTTAAACGCTTCTTATTCAGGGATGCCAAATATAACAGATGCTGCTGACAGTATCAGCAAAATATAAAGCAAAGAATTCCCATTTTTTAAAGTTATGCAGAGATGAAGATAAGAGTGGAGTTGTTTTTATTGACAGTAAATATTCCCCATCTGTTTCAGATTAGTTTCATTTGCTTATTTTGACAGTTAGAGGAGCATCATATTGTTGGTCTAACACGCTGCCATTACATTAAATGAAGCCTTCAGGGGAGCAAACAGCGTGCAGAGCAGCCAGAGCACGTGTAGCCTACACACTGGCAGCTCTGCTGGAGGAAGTGGGGCTGCTTACACGCTGGGGGGGCTGCTCTGTGTATGTATAGTAGGCCTGACGGCTTTAGAGAGCTGTTTGCATTGAAGTGGGTGGGCTTGCTTTGAGGGAGCCTCCAGAATTGTTTTGGGTTTTTCTTTTTTTTCTGACAAAAATTCCCCTCAACTCTGCTGCCAAATCAGTAAAGCTCTGTGATGAATTCTCAGGAGGAATTAAAGCAGAAAATGAGCATCTTACCTCGGAGCGCTCCTCACCACGTGCCACCTCCTCCTGCAGGAGGTTCTGCGCCGTCTGCAAGCTGCGCCTCTGCCCGCGAGCCTCTGCAATGACAGAGAAACATCACTGACGCATGCAGAGCGATCAAGTATGACTTCAGCAGGGGCTGGAGGAGATATCCAGAAAACCAACAAACCGCAGTGGAGAGAATTATCCTCCAGATCTCGTAGAACCTCTATACGTGCTTGTGTGGCAGGGCGTCGCTTTTTGGCCTCTGTTTCATTTCTTTTAATCCAGCGAAACGAAATAATAAAGATTTAACAAAAGCAGAAACAACAATTTCCAAACACACATCATCACTATTATGTAATAAGATGGAACTGATCATGGCCTTGATTTAAAAGCAACAAGAGAGGGAGGGAGCCTCAATCAAATCAGGGATGTATGATCTATGAGGTTTTCTCTGTGCCCCCCATACCCCCCCGCTGGGTTTCTGTCCAACAGTCCCTCAGCTGCACTAATGCTACGTTCAGACCGCACACGCTGGAGGCAGCAGAATCAGCTGGTTTACATGTAAAGTCAATGGTTGACGCGCATCAACGCGCAGAAAAACATCCTGCAGCGCTCTGAGCAGCAGGAGGAGCGCGTCATCAGCTTCTGAGCATCTGAGGCGCTTCAGAAGCAGCAGCTGCTGGAGTTTGTAAAATGTTTGCAGCTCAACGTGCCGCATCAACCAATAGAGAAGCTGATCTGGGAGCTGGCAGGGAGTCAGACACAGCACTGCTGATGCAGAATATGATCACTCCTCTGAAACAGTTTATTAACGCCTAAATTAACTTAAAATGTCGAAAACTGCCGGATAATATGTTCGATATTATAATCCAGGTGCTCGCAGTTTGGATTACGTACGTGAAAAACGCCTTCCAGCCGCCGTGAACAGTATCGGAAAACCGCGAAGAGGTGACCGGGCCAGAGGCTGCTGTTGATGGGGATTCCCAGTGACATCGCCAGCGTACGGGGGTCTGAGCGGCTCAGACAGAGAAATTATGGCTCTGTTCATATTTATGGGCTGCGTCTTCTTTACCTGGCCTGGATCCTTGGAAGTCCGTGAAAATAAGGAGACCGGAAGAGTTTTGGCTGTGAATTCAAACAGGTCTACCCTTCAGCAGACCGCCGTACAGTTGACACACAAAGCAGGAAAAGAATGAATACCGAAGTTTTCAAAACGGTTAATTTTTTTATTGTAAAGTGAACAATGACTAGACTCGGGAGAATAGCTGTATAAAAATTAAACTATCAGATTTATAGTCCCCTCACTGCAGATATATTAGAATCTGTCCTTAAATTCCAGCCAAACCCATTTACACAGTAACAGATAAAAACCTTTAGATAAACCAAACATTACAGCCACATATTTAACTAAATAACCATTAAAACAACTATATTCATTCTTTTCAGATTGAACTATTCACATACTTGTATTATTTTAAACTGAACTTCCAATATTCACCACTGTTCGACGCTAAGTACCCTTTCCGCTAATCACGGAGCAGCCGGCTTGCTAGATCTTGCAATGCATCCTGGGATATCCAAGGATATCCAGGATACTCGGACCCGTCCTTCAAATCGGGCAAAAAGAAGGACGCATTTTAAGGCCGCATAACGAGGAGTCTTGGAATCCGACCAGACCTCGGCGCCGCGCTACCACGTAATCGGCCTTCGAATCTGGCCTTCTAAGGACGCGTCCCATGAATTCAAACAGAGCAAATATTTGAAGGCAGGATGGTAATCTGGATGAACTGACTGCACAGATTTGGTTTTCAGGTGGACTTTCTCACTTAAAAATATGTTAAAACTTTTTACCCACTGATAACAGCAAATATAGCTGCCATTGTTCCAGGCAAAGAAAGGATAGGATAGCTCCGGCCAACGCGCAGCTAGAGCAGCAAAGATGCTTCAGCCACATGCCAGAAACTTGAACAAGCAGCAATAATAAAGCAGTACGCGCGTTTCTGCTGCTCCTGCTGCGTGCGGTCTGAACAGCAATAGATCCAAAGCAGTCCTCCAACATCAGACATTTCATCAAGGACTAAATGACTAGTTTGGGTAAAAGACAAGTGTAGGTGAGTAAATCTGTGATAATTTGTTTATGTCTTGTGGATTTGCAGGCTCGATGTGGGAAAGATTAGCATGTTTGGCATTTCTGCACTGCAAAAACAATCCAGAAATAAGTAAAAAATGGCTTAAAATAAGTATATTTAGCCTTAATTTGAGCAGGTAAATAAGATGATTTGCCAATGGAATGAGTATTTTCACTCTTAAAATAAGATAGTTAGATAATATTTACTTGAAATAAGACGATAAAATAGTTTTTTCTTATTTTAAAAGGAAATTGTCTTGTTCCATTGGCAAAGTGTCTTACTTACCTCCTCAAATCAAGGAAAAACACACTTATTTTAAGAAAAAATAACTTTTTGAGATTTCTATTTTTTGCAGTGTGGGGATTACAGACATTATAACCAGCCTGAGTCAAATCATCCAGAACCGCAGACATGTAGGTGGACTGTTAGCTGAGATAAACCAGAACACTCAGAAATCTTTAGTTATTACAGTGACCCGTATGTGACACAGCCAAAACAAATAAACACGGCAGGAAAGTGAGCAGCTAGAAGAAAGGATGCTCCATCTGGACCCTGACTGACCTCTTTTCAGCCCGACTCTCAGATCTCAGCAGGGAGCAAATAAAGAATTACTCTGAGCAGAAATCCTTTGAGCTTCAAACACAGATGTTATTTTTTTAGCTATATTATAAAGGAAAAAGGCTGAAGTGGTTAGAAACTGATGGCTGCTACTGTAGCTTGCGGCTGAACTGTGAGATAAAGATGGTTGAACAGGAGAGGAATCCCTCAAATACACGGTTCAAACTCTTGAAATGAACTTTTCATTCAAAAGTAAGAAAAGAACAGATGTTAAGAAAATATTTAACTCTAAAGCTGATATAATCATTATGAATGGTCTCTATGGAGGGAGGGAAACGATTAGATCAAATAGCTCGTGGAATATGGTGTTTAACACCCCGGTCCTCCTGGTATCAGCACGATTCTATAATCATTTCTCCATGTTTTACTGTATATTGAGCCACAAGTGGCCTCATGCAGTAGTTTGTACCTTCAAAATGTGTTGACAACCAATGATTTATTCATATTGTTTGCACAAAAACTTTTTTCAGAAGCATCAAGTAACCCTTACAGGACACAGAGCCATAACTCCCGTGAACAGGATTTGTAATAGTAAATAAAAAAAGATATAAAATAATAAAGAACTGCAATTTTTGTAACATGTTATTTTCTGTTAAGATTAACCAAGTAATGCAAGGTCATGGTTTTGGTTCTGTTTAAGTTCTGTTTAAGTTTCATTTGTCTTATTTCCATTTTTGAGTTCTGGTTATTTTTTATTTTTGTATTTGAGTTCTTAGATAGTTCTTGTTTGCCCTTTTGTGTCAGTCTTCTTTTCCCTAGCACCATTATTGCCTCTGTTCACACCTGCTCCCAATCTGCTAATTAGCCTGCTCTTTCCGTAAAAGCAAAAAAAAATAATAATAAATAAATAAAAAAATAAAAATCGACTGGACTTGGTTTCCAAGATTTGAAGACGTTTCGCCACCTCTCCAGGAAGCTTTCTCAATTCAAATGTCTGGATCCGCAGTGAGTTTGTGTCTTTATATAGACAAGGCCTTGAATTGCTTGGAAACATGCAAATGGAAACCGATGAATGGGTCGTTTGGTTCCATTGTTAGCCTGTAATATCGGTTGTTAAAGGGGGGGGGGATTGTCTACTGTAATACCAGGTATTACAGTAGACAATCCCCCCCTTTAACCACCGACCTTCAGAATCATAGACAGGTTTCAGGTATTACAGGCTAACAATGGAACCAAACGACCCATTCATCGGTTTCTATTTGCGTGTTTCCAAACGATACAAGGCCTTGTCTATATAAAGACTCAAACTCACTGCAGATCCAGAAATTTGAATTGAGAAAGCTTCCTGGAGAGGAGGCGAAACGTCTTAAAATCTTGGAAACCAAGTCCAGTGGATTTTTTTTTTTAACTTTAACAGAATGACTATGACCTGGATGACTGAGAATCTTCATCAGCATAGCCTGGTCTTTGTTTCTCTCTCCCATTTATTCTCCTCCTGTTCAGTCATTCTTGGCTGGTTTGTTCTGTCAAGTGGGGAAAGGAGGTCTCCCGGGTGTCCAAAACTGAGTCCAACTCTGCTGGGTCGATTTCTGGCTGGTTTGTACCGTCAAGTTTGGTAGAGGTTGACCGGATCCAAATGCAGAAACTGAAGCGGCTTCTTGAAGATTTAACCTCTTACACCCTCAGGGGGTATAAATAAATTTCTGCCTGACAAAAACACACAAAAGTAAATCACTTATAGCCTCACAGCTATTAGATTTAAGAAGAAACTTTTGGTACGTCTGTAAAGGTAAGATGTCATAGAATGGTTTTCTGGTGTCAGCACCATTGTAGCTTTGACCCTGGCTGAAATATTAGGGACAAAATACAAAATATTTTGCATTTTTTGAACCTCGCCAAAATTTTCTTTGAAATAAACATTGCAAAACACTACCAAAATATTATTTATAGTCCAAAAAAGTAGTACAGACTTTTAAATCTAAATGTTGTGTAAAAATATACCAAATTTGGACTCAATCAGATGAATCATATTTATTTTAGAATGGTATTAGTGAGAAATTTCTTAGGCGGAGAGGCCATTTTGGCACATTTATCCATAAATGTCACCAAACTGCCAAATGTGTTTTTTACGTCAATACTGGGGGTTTGTTAAAATTACGAGGTCACGTGGCAGCTGGACCCACCGGTGGGTCCGTCGGGTTCTAGGGGTTAATTAACCAAAAAGAAGCAAAAATCCAAAACATAAATCCACAAAAACTGAGAACCAGGAATACTCACAAGAAGGAGGCAAAAAAATTACGACAAACCAGCCAAGAGTGACTGAACAGGAGAATAAATGGGAGAGAAACAAAGACCAGGCTAATTAGCAGATTGGGAGCAGGTGTGAACAGAGACAAGAAGGGAGC